CAAATTGCAACTTTCATTTTTAATTTAGAAAGACATACTAAAAAGTCAAATAATTTACCTACAAACAGCTTAAAAGATCATCAGAACACAATATATAAAACTTTGAAATACATGAAAATTTTAACGTGCCCGTTTTTCGTGCCGGTGAGTGTATTATTATCACTAATATGAAAAAAAACACTCTTAAATAAATATTGACGATCCAGCTATGTCGAAACAAAGGTTCCTAATAGATCACCGAAGTTAAGCGACTTTAAAAAACGTGAGTAGATGGACAGGTGACCGACTGGAAACTATATCGTTCTTTTTCGCGTGGACAAAGTATATCCCGCCCGGATTAGCTTGAGCAGCAAAAAGAGGACGCTAACTCCAATTTGAGCACACTTAAATAAATTGTCACGAATCTTATGCCAAACTAATTTCTATGTTTTGTAGAGAAATAAAGAAATTAAACTTGTTTTCTCTGAAATCTATCTAGTATCATTTAAAACGACTTTCTCTTACTTTCCCATTTATAATGCCACGATTCAGTAATTTCCAATCGACTTTTTCCTTAATTACGACATTGATTACATGGCGCAGTCAAACCTTTTCGCCCTCTTTTTTCCAGATCCGTACCGGCAAACTTTTGCCCGGGGCTGGAAAAATCCAATTTGATTATTGGGGTGGCCGATCGGCGCGGCGCGGAGCAATGCCGCAAACCGTTTACTTAATCAATCATTTCGTTGTTTTTTGCTCCCGCTCTCCGATTTTTGGCTTTTAATCTTAACGAGATTGGGCGATAGGATTGGAGAGAATTTGTTTTCGGAAAGTTTTAAGAAGGATTTGTTTTATTATAGAAGATTCTTTTGTTCCAAAACACAATTTCAGATAAAAAATGCTTTCAAGATATCTTTGAAAGGACAATTAATAATGATTTTTGTTGGAATAATCTCCAAAGAGTTAAAATTTGCAGAAGTGAGGCACATTAGGTCCATGCAGTCGCAGTGGTAGGTTCCACTTTTAGTAAATAAAAAAATACAAATACAAACGTCCAAACAGTGTCAGAGATAAAGTTTGCATCATATGAGACTTAATTAATAAATGAATTCACACACACACACACACACAAATTTATTTCAATGATAGTCTCTGCTTTGAATTGAAAATCACATATAACAAAAAAAAACTTGTTACTCTCTGTTGTCTGTCATTTTAAATACTGTTTTCAAAGTTCGACCAGAAAACCCGTTTTTTAGCCGACCATACCAACAGGTATGGTAAGCTATTAAGATCGGCAAAAAAAAACGTTTTTTTAATTTCACTCAAAATTAGTTATTTGGGTCATAAATGACCTAAATACAAAATATTTTTTTATGGTGTCTGTCCGTCTGTCTGTAACACGATAACTCAAAAATCGCTGAACCGATTTTAACAAAATTTGGCACAAAAATATTGTGGCACCCGAGAATCTGGCCATTAGTTTTTGGTGAGGGTGGGGGGTTGGTAAGGGGGTATGGGAGGGGGTTAAAAATTTAAAAAAATCAAAGCTCCAAAATTACAGTAGCTAGCGAAACGCGGTTTTCAATTTAAGATTAGGAATAATATTTGCAACAAACTTTGTAATAACATCAAAATCAGTCAAAGTCGCAGTTTTTGAGATAATTGAAACTAAAAGAACTGTCTACCAACTTTTAATAATAATAATAATAATCGTCTTTATTGAAGAAAAAAAATGTGTAACACATTACATATATTACACATCATGCAACAAGGGTGGCGATATATATATATATAATATAATATATATATATATATATATATATATATATATATATATATATATATATATATTTTTTTTTTCTCCTTTCTTGGGTATGAGGATTAATGATTAAACCTTTAGAAATTTATATATATATATATATATATATATATATATATATATATATATATATATATATATATATATATATATATATATATATATATATATATATATATATATATATATATATATATATATATATATATATATATATATATATATATATATATATATATATATATATATATATATATATATATATATATATATATATATATATATATATATATATATATATATATATATATATTTTTTTTTTCTCCTTTCTTGGGTATGAGGTTATTAAGAATATATAGAAGAATGTGACACATTCTTCTATATAGACTGGTGGTAGCAAGGCGGCTGCGGCTTCAAGAATAAAGTGCCTGAGAAAGCCCACCATGATGAGGCGAAACGTCGCATAATAAAAAAAAAATTCCATTTTTAATTAATAACCTCACACCCATGAAAGGAGGAGAAAAAAAATATATATATATATATATATATATATATATATATATATATAATGTATATATATTATTATACATATATACAAGTAATTATTGAAAAGACAATTTGGTTTAAATTTTATCTAATGAAAATATCTCGAGAAAGAATTTTTATATCTTCTTCGCAATTTTACAGCAAGACAAAAAAATGTTCTACAAACTAACAAATTAAAAAATATACATAGTTAATTCTTATACATCGAAGAAAATTATACATCACAGAAAATTGACATAATAATTTTAAAACACAAACAAAAAATACAAAACCATCATCATTCCTGTGAAGATAGAAGAAACGTTTTATATTTTTTCCTCAATTGACCAAAATTACATTGTTTGAAATCATTATCAAGGGAATTATAACTAGTGACGGCCATATAGGTAAAACTTCTCTGAAAAAGTGCGGATCTATGTTAAGGCATCGTCAGTTGATTATGGTGTCTTATATTACAATTATGCATGACATTACGAGGAATAAGTTTTTCACTCAGATACGAGGCATGTTTTTTAAGTAAGTACCGTTTTGGAATTTAAAAAAAAACGTGCAAAGATATCGCAATAATTTTATTTTTACATGAAAGCCTGTACCTTAATCTACTTTTCTACATAATTTCCGTGAATATTGAGGCACTTGTCATAACGTGGCACCAGTTTTTTAATACCCTCCTCATAAAATTCTGCCGCCTGACTGGTTAACCACTGTATCACAACTGTTTTGACTTCGTTATCGTCTTGAAGACGCTGACCGCCCAGGTGTTTCTTCAAGTGCAGGAATAGATGGTCGTCACTGGGCGCCAGATCAGGGCTGTATGGAGGATGACCTAGAGTTTCCCATTTAAAAGATTTGATGAGATCTTTGGTCCGATTAGCCACATGTGGACGGGCATTGTCATGCAGCAAAACAATACCCTTACTCAACTTGCCACGTCTTTTGTTTTGGATTGCACAGCGCAGATTGTTCAATGTCTCACAATAAGATGCTGCATTGATTGTCTCATTACGAGGCAGAAACTCCACTAGCAATACTCCTTTTCTGTCCCAAAAAACTGTGCACGTGATTTTCCGGGCAGAAATTGTTTGCTTAAACTTCACTGTTTTGGGTGATGATGAATGTCGCCATTCCATGGACTGTTGTTTCGATTCTGGTGTGACGTAGGCCACCCATGTTTCGTCACCAGTAACAATTTTGTCTAAAAATCTTCACCTTCATTGTGGTACTGCTCAAGGAAAGTCAATGCACTGCCTAAACGTTGGGTTTTTGTGCAAATCCGTCAACATTTTCGGAACCCAACGTGAACACAATTTCCGGTAATTCAAGTTCTCGGTCACAATGCGATACAAAATACTACGAGAATATTGAGGAAAGTAGTCGCACAATGATGAAATTGTAAAGCGTCTGTTTTCTTTCACCTTTTCGTCCACTTTCTGCACCAAATTTTCATTAACGACCGAAGGACGCCCACCCCGTTCTTCATCATGCACATTTGTGCGGCCATCTTTAAATGCTCTCACCCATTTCCTTACCATTCCATCACTCATAATGTTTTGTCCGTAAACTTCACAGATCTCACGATGAATATCGATCGGTTTTACGCCTTTAGCACTAAGAAATCGTATGACAGCCCGTACTTCACAATCGGCGGGGCTCACGATTGTCGGAAGCATCTTAAACACTCAATAAACAACGTATACAATGAAGAATCAGACTGTACTGGTGTCTGTGCATAGACAAGAGATGTAGGTAACCTGCGCGCATGCGCGGAACGCCGACCGTAGCGCTGCGGCGGCGGAATCGCAAAACGGTACTTACTTAAAAAACATGCCTCGTATATAGGGGTGGATGTACTCAGCACCTTAAACAGAAACATGACGAAATGCAGCCTGACAGTGTTTGAAATTTTTTATTAACATATTTTAGTATGGGCGACTATACGTGCCTCCCGGCGCTAATTTTTTAAGATAAAGACGGTAGTAGATTGAAGCTAATGCCGGGGCCAGACGACAAAAAGTAAAAACAATTTTGAGACAAAAACAAGACAAACTTGCGACAAAATGGGGAATTCCGACAAGACAAACTTGAGACAAATTGTCCACACCGCGCCAAATATAGACACTTTGATCTTTACCGACTCGAGACGGGACATTGAAATGTCTCTGAATTTTGAAACAAAACAAAAATGAGACAAAAATGTCGCAGAAATGTATTGGATTTGTCACAACTTGTCGTAAAACATGAATGTTTCTGTCTTGTCGTTGTTTTGTCTGCTTGATCTGGACCCGGCATAAGAAATAACGGCGAATGCAGATTCTGTAGGGAAACTGCGGAAATACTCATCACTGAGACACTGGTATGCATAGTCAGTCGCCAGCGAGTTGACGGAGGAATCGCCCGGCGAAGAGTTGAGAGAGTCGCCAGCGAATTGACGGCGATCTGTTTGCGTTGCATAGTCGTACTCTACTCCGCAGGCTCGCCGGCGTCACGCCGACACCTGCGCGGCACCTTATATACGTATTTTAAAGGTGGCCCATACCAAATATGAATCAATTGTCGCGCTCTGAACAGCGGAATTAGATTTGGACCGCTGTAATCTTTTTATCCGTGTCGTTGAACAGGCGATTTGTGGATTCTTGTTTTGTTTATTATTATGTGTTATCTTTTCGGTACCGATGGTTTTGGAAAGTGCATAGTTGTTTAGAATAAAGTTAACAGTTCGGGCCGCTTGCAAATACGTTTAAAAATGGCAATTAAATATTCCGTGGCAGACAAAGAACTTTTTATTCAAATTATAGGGAATTACCCCATACTGGAAAATAAGAGGACAGACGCTAATCATATCGAAAAAAAAAGAAATGCTTGGGAGAAAATTACTGTGGATTTCAATGCTGCAACATCTGAGAAGGTATGTATGTATGTAATGAGTAATCCATTAATAAAGGGTACCGGGTATATTTCACGAAGTAGTAATCAGAGGTTTGGCGTAAATTTTTCCCTAATTAAATTGCCCGAAAAAAAAAATGCTGGAAATCATTTTCAAGTTTGTAAAACGTCCGCTACAGGGCAAAGCAACAGTGATCAACTATAAGCATTTCAGTGTTAATACTTATTTGTATTTACAGAGAACAATGACCCAATTAAAAAGGCTATGGGACAAAATGAAGAGAGCGAGAAAGGCTGAGCTAGCCCAGGAGAGACGGGATCTGTTGGCAACAGGTGGTGGACCGCCCCCTGTTCCACCACCACCTCAACCAGTTATTGATGATTTGGTTCCGCATATTGCATTTGAAGTAGACGTTACAGATGATTCCGATGGAGTTAACTTAAATAAAATAGAAGGTATGACATAAAGTTCTAGTAAATTAATTAGTTGCATGTTGGTTTTCTTTCTTTTATTTAAACGGTAACACTTTCTACTAAAATGAGATAGGTATCTAATGATTTAAGTACTGACAGTCAATATTGATGTTTTAAAATTATAAACTAAAATTCTTTCAGATATGCACCCACTTGGAACTGCAGTTGACTCATCCTCGGGTCAAAATACATCGCCACTTCCACCAGTGATTGTTATGGAGCAAGGTAGTTATCCAATGATTTAAGTATTGAAAATCAAATTGATCTTTTAAAATTTCAAAACTAAAATTAAATTAAAATTCTTTCAGGTATGCAACCATCTGGAACAGCATTTGCCTCATCCTCGAGTCAAACTACACCGCGGCTCCCACCAGTGATTGTTCTTGAGCAAGACAAACCTTGTGTATCTACTTCTATGAGGAAAGTATCCCCAGTTTCTTCACAAGGAATTAAAAGATTAGGTAAGTACTTAATAACTCTTAGTGTAAAATATTTAGTGAAATCTGAGTTATAAGCACGCCTTTGGCTCGTACATATTTTTTAATAGTGGCCAATGTTTTCAGGAAAAACAATTCCAAGAGAAGAAATTAAAAATAAACAGATTACAGAACTTACTGAAGCGAGGCTGGCATTAATAAAAAAAGAAGAACAACAGATGGACGAACTGCATAAAATCCGGCTAGAAGAAGCTATTTATAGAAAAGAAGCGGCCAGATTGCAGATGCTTCAGGAAGAATTGAAGTTAAAACAGTTGCAAAATGAGAATTAGACAAATTATTATGTGTTAATCGCGAAGTGTATACGTGAAAAACTTGACTGTGTTTACGCAAAATAAATCCCTTTAGCAATTGCTTATGTATATGTTTTATTCCTCAAAAATTTTTAAAATACATCTTATATTTATTATCCCTGTAGGTGGGTGTTTAAATCTAAAAATAAATTATTTACTACTGGAAATGGTTCCGCACTATGGTTGCCCTCATTAATTGGCCTAAACGATTATAGTTTCCAGCATGGAATGGAATTGCTGGTATATCATCATCAATTTCTTCTGCTGGTTCCATTAATTCACGATGTGTAACTGCTATGTTGTAAAGTACAGCACAGGCAACTATAATATAACAACTCGTAGAAGTTTTATTTGCAAGCCCTCTTCGCAAACAAGAAAACATTCGCTTTAAAACCCCGAACAAGCGTTCTACTACATTCCTTGTTCTTATTTGAGCTTCGTTGTACCTTCTTTCTCCTTCAGTTTGTGGGTTTCGAAAAGGAGTTAAAAGATACGGCAGACATGGATATCCGGCATCGCCAAGCAAATATCCTGGTAGCTGCCTTCTTTCAAATCTGGTTTTAACAGAGCTTCTGTTAAAAATATAGCTGTCGTGGTAGCTTCCCGGATATCTAGCAACAATATCGTAAATCTTTAAATCAGGCCCAGCAACTGCCTGTACATTAATTGAAAATATTCTTTTTCTATTTCTAAAGAGTTCCGCATTCAGTCCTCCTGGATTAATGATAGGGACATGTGTACAGTCAATACAACCAGTCACGTTTGGGAAGTTTCCAATTCTCTGGAAATGTCTTTGAACTTGTTGCAAATTATTTGGAAATCTTATATGTTGTCGACTGTTGGCTGAAATCCTTCTAGTAACTTTCTTTATTACACGGCTTATAGTGGCTTGGTGGAATCCTCTTAAATCTCCACACACTATCTGAAAACAATTAATTTATATCCTATGTATTTTGTTTATTTTTATAAACAGCAATACATTTTGCTCCCCGCTTGCAAATGCTTAAATATTCTCGCCGTTCTTAAAATATTAGGAACTATGCCCCTTTTGTCTAACCTGATAACTATAAATTGTGTTTTAAACATTGCAAAGCGGCGATATCTAGTTGATAATTAATAATGTAAATACCTACTTACCTGGAAACTTCCGGTCGCGTAAAAACGCAGAGTCACTAGTAAACCTATTATTGGTGGAACAGGCAGCCCACGATTGGTCGTTTGTTCCTGATCTTCAACTATAGGTAACAAAATATGTTGAACGATAGGTTTCGAGAAGCGAAATCGTTTTCTAAACTCCACATCATTATATTTTTCTATGGGATTTTCCATGTCCCTAATATATCTAAAAATACGTACATACATGTTTAGTTCTTTACTTAATATATTACTACATACCATACTTAACAGTACACATGTGAATTTTTTATCACTTACCTACGTGGTATGTTTATTATCAATTCCAAATCCACAATATCTCTATTTACATTATAAATCATGTCAAAATCGCGATCCATTTTTACCTTCACCTCTAAATTGTACACACAATAATTCTAAACTCGATCAAAACTACCGCAATCCGACTTTCCGGCGAAACGACGGAGATGGTCTTTTCCACATCCAACAAATCTCCAGCGCGGCGCCGAGGAATATCAAAATGCGCATGCGTCAAGTCGGCGAACGAAGAACTATGCATTACAAATTTCACCCAGCGTACGGCGTTTCTTTGGCGACTCGCTGGCGATTGACTATGCATACCGGTGTGAGTGTCTCAAGACGACAACCAGTCGTGCAATACATTTTGGTAAGACGGAGAACTATCCACTATAAAACCGTCACAGATACTGGCTTTTGCCAAAGCCCTGAGACTTTATGATGAGTTATGACTCAAGAAAGGGGGACATAAGAGAACTATCTATTATTAAACACAAATTGAGATTTTCTGATTTCTCAATGTCCGACAGCCACAGGAGACTTCATGGCGCTGTAAAGGAACAGGGGTGTATAAAGGGAACGGGGAGAACCATGTATCCCCACCCCCTGTCAACGACGTGACCAGCAGCGAAATTTACGGTCTTGTTCGTGTATTATGCATATCCGCACTGATGGGCAGTTTGTCACCCGGAGGACCGCCGAACACTGTGTACGGACAGTGTTTCGGCTTGTAGAGAGACAGGAAGCGAACAAGACAAGTAGAAAACTGGTATTGTCTTATTTTCGGTGACGGTTCTGTAATTAATTACGTTCTGTGAATGTTTAGAGCTTTAATGAAGATATTATAATTAACGTTTGTGGGTTGTAGGCATTTGCGTGATTTAATTTTATAACATAATTTTCTTTCTTTAAAGGAAAAGTGAAAGACGAAAATGTCTAATTTAAAATATGGAATTTAAAGAAGCACAGGTTTTAGAGAACGGTTGTTACATTTTGAATATTAATTTTCGACATTTTATGTCAATTTTTAATAAATGAAAAAGAAAAAAAAAGAGAACAAGAAATAAGAGAAATTTATATTTGGTATCTACTATTTGGAAAAAATATCTCGTCCTATGTATTTGTAGGAAATAGAATTATCTACAAAAAAGGTGGTCTCTTACAATTTTTTGTAATGTAAGAGTGTGTTTCTATGAACAAAGAAATGTTTTAAATTTTTTTCTAGTTTTTTTTAGTCCTAAGCATGTTTTTATTGTAGTATAAATTAGTGGACCCACGGGATCCCTAACAAAATTATAAGAATAATAAATTTCCAATAAATTTTCGAATAGAGAACTTCCATAGTAGAGGTTGTCGCCCACTAGACCGCGGCGCGACGCGGCGCGGCGCCATGTGGAAATTTCTTTTGTCTGCTTGCCATGTATTTAAATGGACCAACGCACATTAGAGCGCGCAGCGCAGAAGCGCGCCGCGGGATTTCCGTCAAGAAGTCGGAAGACTTCTCTAGCAACTTTTTTCCGTCTCCCGCGTTTCGGCGCGTTGCAGTGTGCGTACTCACAAGGGGAAATAATTTTGCATTCGAGTCTTTTCAGTTGGCTTTTTGACTAGGAACTAGTGATATGTATCAATGGCAGAATTGTATTTTTAAAGGTAAATTAGGCAAATCGATTTTCATAAAGGAATATGATATTTTTTTTAGTCTTCCCTCACTAGAGACAGATGGACGAAATGCCTTTCTATCAAAGATTTAATATAATTGAGAGATGTAGAGGCAAAACTGGCAATCTCCACTTTTTAACAAAAGTGACAATCTCAATTTTTAAATTCTAATTACCTAAATATATAAAAAGATCAGGGTTTTTGACCACATAACTAATATACATCATCAGAATAAATAAGAATTATCAAAAATATTAGTAATTTGTCTCTTCTGAAAAAATATGATGAGTAGATATACCCGGTGTTTTTCCTTCTAAAACCCTCAATTGAGGAGTGCGTAAAATGTTTCTTTTATATTTTGTAATACTGAAAAAAATGATTTTGTCTTTTATTAAATCTGGAAAAAGATGGTAAAATTCTCCAAACTTCTTTCTTTTTTTTTGTTAATCGTATGAGTCCAAACTTTTCCTCACCCCCTCTTCCTCTTCCTCTGTTAGAAGAGCACAAAAAATACGCTTTCGTCCGTACTTGAACTCATTGCTTTAAAAACTAAACTACAGTAAGTAAAAAACACTATAACTAAATAGCGTTGCCGCGTTTCAAAAGCGCGCTATAGTGGGCGCAGTTCCTTCGCAGCCGGAAAAAATTCTCTTCCCAGCGCCGCGCCGCGCAGCGGTCTAGTGGGCGACAACCTTAGTTTAAGGATAGAAATGTAAATTTGTAAAAATTTCCCCGTATATGTTTGACGATAAATATTTTTAAATGGTTGAGTTGCGTGTTTCATAATAAGTTTTGTTTTTTTGTTATAAGATTCTCAAGAAAAAAGAAATCTGCCTTAAAATAATCAACCTTCATTAACTTTCGAACGGTGAGGTTTACAAAAAAATTGTAAGAGATCGTTTTTGTAGAGAATTCAATTTACTACTAACATATATGGGACGAGATGTTTTTTTCCAAATAGTAGATACCGAGATATGAATTTTTCTTTCTAATAATAAGGAAAAAATAGAAAACTGAAAGGCGGAGGACCTTCCTATTAAAATTAAGAGCTCATACTTGGAGAGAATTTTTTGAGGTGTCTACCAACCTTTTTTTCAGAGTATAAAATAAAAAAAATAGTCGATTTTGTTGAAAAAACACTAAATCACCACAATACACCAAAACACTTTTACACTGGACGCGCGTTTCGCTAACCATGTTAGCATCATCAGCAGATGATTATAAACTAAAATACAATCTACAAGTTGAGCGTTTATATACTCGCTCAGTGGACAGCGAGTGGGCGTGGCAAGATCTAGCCAACCGAGTCTAGAAATGGTAATCTGTCGTTGTTTTCAATTTCATGCGTAAATTTAATGGAAGGAAAACGATTATTTAACTTAGAAATAAAATTATCTATGGTGTCTGAATGTGTGTCAAAAACAGCAAAAATATCATCCACATACCTAAACCATACTCTTGGAAAATACTCAAACTGATTCTTAGCTTCCAGTTCAAACCTGCTCATGAATAAATTAGCCAAAAATGGAGACAATGGATTACCCATTGCTGTATCATCCCGCTGTCCAAAAAAGTTGTTATTAAATTAAAAACACTTTTGTTTCATACATAACGATGTAAGCTCAATATATTCAATCACAGTTTTGTTGTCGAGACCATTTGCGTTCAGTAATTCCTTCAAGTAGCCTAAAGTATGTGGAATTGGAACACTTGGGAACAACGAAGATACATCAAAGGAGACCAAAATTTAACCTTCATGCAATGTTATATCTCTAATTTTGTTAATAAATTCAATATTATTTTTAACTGAGAAAAAGGGTTCATAAACAGCTAAACTTTCGAACTCCCTTGATAACCATTTTGCCAAATTATAAGTCGGAGAACCTACAGCCGAAACAATTGGGCGCATAGACTTATCCGGCTTATGAATTTTTGGTAACGCATACAATTTTGGTAATGAGGGATTCGATACTTGCAATTTTCTCTTTAAAGAAAGAAAAAAAGAGGAAGCCGTCCGTTAGTTTTAAACACCAAAACACCAAATTCATAAATACTTTGCCCCACGCTTATCTAGAATAATTTTCCCTAAAAATGCCATACATTTTCTCCACATCCACCACCGGAAAATCTGCGGGAAATCTGTTCGGGAAACAAGGAAAATATGTCGTTTCCTTTCCCAAAACAGACAGATGCGTGGGCGAGTATGTGAGAGGAAAGGATAGAAACAGCGAAGGAAACAAAAAAAACTAAATAAATTTAATGATATTAAAATGTATTCCTTTAAAATTTATTGCGAGTCTTGTTGTGAGGAAAACTCGGCGGGGAAAACAGGCGGGAATGGAAATTTCGCCTGGGGTTTTTCCGCATCAGAAAAAGCTTATCTTTGACTTTTATAAAAGCGGGAGGGTGAAAAGTTTTTCTTTTAAGAGATATAGAAGGAGATTTAAAGCGATAAGTAGAACAACTGATTTGAAATAATATCGAAGAAATAAATAACGTGAAAAAAACCTTTTATTTTCACATTAATGTTGATTATCTCTAAATCAAGTCACAAACATTTTCTTTTCAAAGGTAAATTACATAATAATGTTTATAAAATTGATTAAGTAAACATTTCATACAATAAAAGACGGTTTAAAAAACGATTTTAATTAACATAAATTTTTTCGAAGAAATGATTCTGCTTTGATTCGTAGCTACAGGGTCTTAAAATTTTAATATTTTTTCGATTTATTATAAATTTTTTGCAAGTACTTATATCGTTTGAATGAAATTTTGAGGGTAAAAGTTACTACAGTATAAATGCCACATATTTTAAAGCTGAAAAAGTGTCGACATACATATTTACCAGGGACGTGCATATGTGTTATCAATGGAATATTTCTCTGAGAAAAAGCATTTATGCCACTGACTTTTCTTCTGTTGTTAGCGTAATAGTGTAAGCAATTTAATGCCGATTAAAAGTTGTCTCTTGATATTTTGTCGAATTCGGCCTCCTTGATGAGATAAATGCGATTCTATTTATTACCCTTGATGCAAGTCTAATTGCAACCTTTAAAAAAAATTAATATCATTAACTTGCGAAAGTCTTAAATAAGTATTCATTGATTCCTCATCCAAAAATATGAAAAAAGTTCCTATAAACATGGGTATGGAAATGCATAGTTTTACAGTTACAGGATGTTAAAACATTTTCAAATTATAGGATTTTTGTAATTATCTTAAATACCATTATTTTTTTATTTGAAATTGCTGTAGGTTGGACTAATAGTAATAAAAACTGATAGTAATAATATTTAACAAGAAATTAGGTGAAATATATAATATATTAATTTTAATTTTACTAATTGTGATTAATAAAATTGTGTTTATCTCATCAAAGAGACCTAACTTTTAATTGGCATTAAACGGCCTACACGATTTTGATATAAAAAAAAAAGTCAGTGGCACACATGTTT